GAAATGTCTGACAATTTTCAAAATTTGATGAAAAGTATAGAATCTCAGATTAAATATCCACTGAGAAGAATATATTAAGAAACAGATGTGCACATACATTATAATTTTAATAGCATAATCAAAAATATTTATCAAAAATTGACTTACATAGAAATCTTTGAAGTCAGGATATTACCACAATTATATAAAAAAGATAACTAGAAAATCCCCATCTTTTTGGTTATTAAAAATAAGTAAACATCTAAATAACACATAGGGCAAAGAAATCAATTAGAAAAGATTTTAAAATTTAATGATATTAAAATAGTGCTTATTAAAATGTGTGTGGTGCAGCTAAAGCAGTATTTTAGAGGAAATTTTTTAGCCTTAAATGCATTTCAACTATTCAAAGTTGCTTTATTAAAGTCAAAATACAAAATTCAACTGTGTTTTGCTTTATCTTTAATAGACTATTAAGTTTTGCAAAATATGTCATTTACAGTAGTGATAAGATATTAAATACTTTGAAAATAAAGAAATAGAAAACCCTAAACCATTGTGAGATAGTAAAGTTCTAAATGAACATATCCATTAATGAAAACAGACTAAATATGAATGAGTGCTTACTACACACATTTGCAGATGTAATACTACAAAACAGCGACGAAAAGAATGGACTGTTCAATAAGTAGTGTTGGAACAATTTTCTACCTCCATGGAAGAAGATGAAATTATGTTCTATAAGTAGAAAAAAATTGCAGGATTAAAAGTTCTAAATGTAAAAGAGTTAAACTGTAAACCTATTTTTTTTTAAAGAACATTTTTATAATCCCAGGGAAGGAAAGGATTTCTTCAAAAAATGCAAACCACAAAATACTAAGGAAAAAAATGGGTAAGTTTGAAATTATAGTAGACAAAAATGTTATACATTAAGGTAACAATAGTTAAATGAGAAGATAAATCAAAGACTGGAATAAAATATTTTCTGCACATTTAAATGGAAAAATTATATATATATATATATATATTTTGACTCTAGAGTGGGCCCTGTGCATTGGTGGATTCAACCAACCTCTGCTGGAAAATAGTATTTTCAATGTGCAGTTGGGAATGAGAAAATACATATATACTGGATTTCATATATAAATTAACATATATCCTAATTAATTAGCAACAAAAAGGACAAAGGTCACAGTAGATAAATAAGCAAAGAGCTCTCCATGCAATTCACTCTGAGGGAAATATAAACTGCCAATTAAAATATGAAGATTTAGAAACACCAATCAGAAAGGAAATTTAGAAACACCCCTAAGTTCATAGCAGGACAATTTACAATAGCTAGGATTTGGAAACAGCCTAGATGCCCATCAGCAGATGATTGGATCAAAAAACCATGGTACATCTACACAATGGAATACTATGCTGCCATAAAAAAGAGGGAATTCCCATCATTTGCAGCAACCTGGATGGAATTGGAGAACATTACGCTGAGTGAAATAAGCCAGTCAATGGAAGAAAAACACAACATGATCTCACTCATTTATGGATAATAAAGAACATTATAAACTGATGAACAAAAAGATAGATACAGAGACAGTAAAGCAACAGACTGTCAAATTACAGCGGGGTGGTTAGGGAGATATGGGGGAGATAAGAGATCAACCGAAAGACTTGTATGCATGCATATAAGCAAAACCAATGGATGAAAAACTCTGGGGAAGGAGAGCATGTATGGGAGTTGGGGGGAGGACAATGGTAAGATATGTACACATATAATACCTTAATTAAAAAAATGGAAAAAAATAAAATACAGGGAAAAAAATAAAATATGAAGATTCACAAACTCACTAGTCCTATTTCACAACCCATAAACATATAAACATTCCAAGTTTTGCTAAGTATATGGGAAGATAGGTATTTAGGCTCACGTTGGTACAACTCTTTTGGAGCTCAATTTGATAATTTCTAATAAAATTTAAAACATGCTTTCTTTATTAACTCTTTCTGAATCCCATCTAGGAACGAAAAGTTGGGTTGTTACCATGGCACACACACAAAGATGTACTTTTCAACTTTGTAGAATAAAAACATGGAAACAAGTTTATTGAGTTAAGGGGAATGGAAAAATGAACTGTGCTTTATTTATATAATTAGATACTATTCAATAGTTTCATATATATATATATATATATATATATATATATATATATATAAATTGTATGTATATCAACATGAATAAAAGGGACTCTCCAAAAAACATAATACTGGATTTTCTGAAAGCCCCAGTAAGTATGTGTAATGTGAAACTTATCTTTTAAAATTGAAAGACCACAAAAAATACATAGATGATAGATAGATAGATATATAGAAACTAACACACACACATAGAGTATAAATACAAAACCATGCACTGGGAATCATACACAGTTGCCCTTTTAAGGCCCCCCCTCCCCCGACAGCACAATAAAGTATCTTGGTCTCTTGGTGTAACTTCTGATTCTACAGTTGGCCCTGTGCATTGGTGGATTCAACCGACCTCTGAAAACAGTATTTTCCATGTGCAGTTGGGAATGAGGAAATACTGTTGTTTTTTGATCCACGGTTGGTTGAATCTGCTGATAGGAAATCTGAGGATGTGAAGCCCTGGAATAGGAAGGGCTGTTGCATTTATTTAAAAAAAAAAAAAAAAAAAAAAAAAGATTAGTTGACTCACAGTTCAAACCCATGGTCAGCTGTGTGTACACCTCAGAGGGGTGGGAGATGGAGTAAAAACTGTGTGTGTGACCTTCTCTATTAATACATTGATTTTCCTAAGAAAAACAGGTGAGGGCAAACAGGTTAAAGCTTATTCATGCTTGCTTACTCTTGAGGACAGATCCAATGGTGTCTGTCACATCACTTCTTGTTAGTTTGACATATTTCCTAACTCAACTTATGTTTTTAAATTTAAAAATGAATTCTGTTGAGAGAGTATCTTCTCTAAATCCAGCTATTATTCAGCTCGTGGTATTTGCTTGCCATGTTTCTGCCCAGTCTGGAATTTTAGGGCCAAAAGAGGAAAGATAAACTGTTATCTCAAATTTGACATGTAAAAAATAATATGGGCTCAATGGTTGAGCATTGACACAGGAACCAAGAGGTCACTGTTTTGATTCCTGGTCAGGGCACATGCTTGAATTGCTGGCTCAATCCCCAGTGGGTGTGTGTGCCACAGGCAGCCAATTGATGACCTCTCTCACCGATGTTTCTATCTCTCTACCCTTTTCCCTTCCTCTTTTTCTAAAGAAATATCAATAAAAAATAATAATCTGGGAATGTGACAATATAATTGAAAATTAGTCTAATTAGAGGTTGTATAAACACAGGGCACCCTTTTTTTTTTTTTTTTTTTAGCGGATCCTTATACACATGTAATTCCCCCTCTTTTTTCCACCGTTGTCTAATATTATCTCCTTTTTTTTTGAGTTTAGAAGGATGTGCATACACTGCTCTGAACCTTTTTTCCAAGCCTTCCCATAGCATACATCTCCTTTGGTATTTTGCTTGTGGATTTATTTATTCCTAGATTAAAGCTGGTAGACAATCTTCACTGACTTGGATGAGTTTCATCCTTTATCCCCAGAAATACTGAGCTACCTGGGTTGCATATTCCTAGTCTATGCAAAGTGCACTGGTTAGAATCAGCTCCATGAAGAGATTACATGGATTACAAAACTTAAAAATATAAAACACTAAATAGCCTAAGTTTTGTAAATCAGTAGGAGAAAGACCCAATAGTTTTGGCATATTCATATTGTGGAAAACTATGCAAGGGGGCAAAAAAGAAAAAAAGAGATAGATCTATCTTAAATATTGGTATGGACAGGTTTACAGGTTACAAAAGGATGTTAACATATAACATATAACAAACACATAACATATATAATATATATAAAATCAATCACATTATTTATGTTAAAAACAAACACACATTGTGGGTCCACATATGTACATGTAAATGCATAGGAAATGCTGCAAAACAACCATGAAGTGGTGAGTGGATACCTTGTCTAGACAGAGGAAGGGGAGATATTTGGAGGTTATCAAGGGCATGTTAGCTTCATCTGTAATCTCTTAATTTACATTTTAACTTGCACGGAAAGTACTTGGATTACATGTGGCCAAGGGTTCCAAAAATCTTTTTATGGAACAGAAACGCATGCAACTATTAATTTCCAATTATAAACTTAGTCATGAAATTTGTAAAATATCTGCTCATGGTAGGAAATGAAACAACTGCATTATAACCCCAAATTATTTTTCCAAAGTAAAATATGTAATGTAAAAAATCACAGAAAGAACCTGCAAAGTTAAATTTCATTTTCACAACTTAAAAATCAAGTAACTCAACTCTAGGAGTCCTAACAGACACCCAACTTATCTTTAATTGCCGCCAAGACTAAGAAATATGGGTTGGCTTTAAATGAATGGGGGATCTTTCCAATTCCTACTATAATAGAAACGAAAGTGACAGATTGCTTCATTTATACTAAGACGAGTGCTGTCTCTAAGGTGTTGTTCACTCTTCAGTGATGGCATCGGCTTTTCCTGACGATGCGGATTGAACCCTTGAGCACAAGCTTTGACAAGGAGGAAATGAAGACCTGGAGAGGTCAGATTTCAGCGTGAAGTGACATCCAAGGAGCCGCAGGGCCAGGACTCCGGCTGGGGTTCCCACTGCCAGCCCTGTGCGCTCTCTGCCAGGACATGCTGCCTGCTCTGATTCACCAACCTGTGAGGCATCACCGTGCGTCTCCGTGTCGGGCCTTCTCACGCATTCATCCCTGGCGATCATCTACCCACCCACCTCCTTCCCCACCTGCTCCCTGGGCATCCCCGTTGGCTCACGCCCCCACGATGCCCGCCAGGGCCCTTCATGGACCCCGCACCCATCAGGAAGGGTCTCCAGGCCGGCGCGCCCCGCGGGGCGGAGGGGGGTAGTTGCAGGGCGCGGGATGGGGGTGTCGCCGCCCCGCACTCACCTTGCCCGCAGCGGGCGCGGCCGCCAGCAGCACCACCAGCAGCACCAGCACCAGCACCTGCACCTGCACCAGCACCAGCACGGGCACCGGCGGCCGCAGGAGGGCGGGCGGCCCCCGTGCCGTCCAGGGGCCCATGGTGGGCACCCGCTCCGAGTCCCCGCGTGTCCGGCTCCCGCGGGCGATGCGGCCGCCGCGTCCCGTGCGCGGCTCTCGGGCGGGGAGTCCGGCCGCGAAGCTGGCCTCGCCTGCCAGCCGGCCCGGGGCGTGTGCTGTAGGGCCCGGCAGCGCCGTCCGTCCCTCCCCACCCAGGCTTTTGACGGCGGCTCCCAGGGAGGGAAGCAATGGCTCCGGTCGGTCCCGCCCTCGCCCCCCCCCCCCTCCACCCCTGCAACTCACCGGGCTGTGTCCCTCCGACCTGGGCGTCGTGCCCGGGAGGCGAGGAAGGGCAGGTGGGCGAGGGTCCAGGGTGAGGGGGCGAAGGGAGGGATGCTCCCCAGGTCTCGGAGGGAGCCGAGGCGGCGCGGGCGGGGTGCGGGGCGGAGGTGGGGGTTTTTGGGGGGTGCGATGGGGAGGTGGCGGAGCGGGGGCGAAGGGAGTGGCCAGCGGCCGTGCCCAGATTAAGTGGGAGGCGCGCGGGGTGAGGGCGCTGGAGAGGGCCTGCCGGCTCCGGCTCCCGACGGTGCCGTCTCACTGCTCGCTCGGCTCAGCCGCCGCACCCGGAGAGGCTGCTGAGTGGAGATCGGGGCGCGGCAGAGCCTGGGGGTGCGCGCCTTTCGGGCTGGAGATGGGGCGGCTCCCCGCGCTGGGGGCGGCCCCCTGAGGTAAGGCGCCGGGACCCAGTTTAGACAGTCACTGCCCAGGGCCTGGGACACCTGCCGGTGGGGGCAGTGGAGGAACTCTGGCATCTCTGGTGGGGCATGCGGGGTGCGGGGTGCGGGGTGCGGGGTGAGTGGGGGGCACCAGGGGCCTGGGGGTTACCAGAGTTGAACGTGTCTGGCTCCCTGGCTTGTCTGCCTGGGTTTGAACCGGGCGCTGTGTGTTTTGATTAATTTGGAGGCTCAAGTTACCACCAGCCTGGCAGTCTGGGCACTCCGAAATGCCAAGAGCAAAAGGCAGCTGAGGCGAAAGAGAATGCCCATCCTATTCTCCACTGTGTTGAACTGGCTTTTCAGGCTAAATCTTATCTGCTGCGGAAGTGCAGGGGAAACCTAGAGCCATCTCTGTTCCCGGGTGGTGAGTCTCCCTCCCGCAGTGCCCTCTGTGAGGTGTCCTGGGACGCGAACGGTGCAGTTATCTGGCTGGTCAGGGCACACTCTGCAAAGCAGGGCCGCTGCCCTTCTTGTGCCACTGACCACATTGACTCTGGGGATGCTTTCCGACCCTTCTCAGAATAATGCTTTTAAATACAGGAAACGCAGTTAAACAGAATCAGTCCTACTGGAATGCAAGGATCAGACTATTAAAGCCATGATATAACAACAGACGAATATCATTAGCATTGCATTAAATACCTAAACCTGATAATAGATTTATTAAAATAACTTTAATCTTAAAGTAGTCCAACTGCAAAACTGAAATGTGACATAAAAACATCAGTGGCTGCGAACCCCCAGGAGCTGTCAATACTATTGCAGTTCGTTGCCCATCTTCATCGCCTAAGGAAATGCTGAGCTTCCAGGAAAGCCAGTGAAACTGGAGGTGTCACTTTTACTTCCATCCACGTTCACAGACCACCTGAATTCTTCCCAGGTTTGGCACCCCTGGGTGGGAGCAGTGCCGCTGACATCTGCAGCAGCTGGTCATCAGACACCATCTGTGAAATATATGGTTTGGTCCCTGAGAACCACTTGCTTCAATTAGAATTGGGTCTGATAGTGTGCAGACCTATGTAGGTGAACAAAACCCTGGCAGTAGATGAATGAAGACACACCCCTTTTCCTTTTAGCTGTAGAGTGACTATTGTAGTCTTCCCTCTGTTATTTATTTATTTATTTATTTATTTATTTATTTATTTATTATTATTTATGCCTGCAATTGTCAACTGTGGTTGTATATCAGAATCTCCTAAGGAGTCCCTAAGACCCCTAATACCTAGTTCATCCCAGACCAATTACACCAGACTTTCCAGTGGTAGGACTCCCGTATCAGTTTGTTTTGAAGCTTCCAGAAAATTCTCACCTATTATACAATCAAGTTTGAGAGCCACTGCTTTACTTGCATGTTTCAGTGAAGTTAGCTGCCTTGAATCAGGGTCATTTCTTAGGAAAATAATAAATGGACTTTTATTATTACATCTTCAGTAAGATTTATTGCATTATTAAAGATATAAGTAAAATCAAATATTTGTTATCTTTATTAAGATTATATATTTATGAAATATATATTAAACTCTTTATTAAGAATTACGTGTGCCCAGGCCACATATATTGCTGTGTGGTATGTAGTAGCATCTTCCTTTGATAGGGAGGTTCTTATGGAACCTTCCCCTGCCATCCTGGGTAGACAGGACATTAGAGGCTCTGTTGAAATAACAGTGTCCAAGAATTCCAAGTGGCATATGATAATCTTGCATGTACTAACACTACTTTCGGGGGGGCAGGGGGGAAAAGCAGGAAATAATCTCAAAGTTAGTGTTAAATGCTCCTCCTTTTTACTGAATTCCAGAAGATTTCTCAATCTGGACCTTAATTTTTTTCCCCTGAAACCAAGTCATTTTGATGAAAGACCAGACTTAGTTTTATCACCTTTGGAGTGGGTGGAGCAGTCAACTGCACCTCACTTCTGATGCCACAACAGAGCAGGAGAGAAACTTGTGATGTAAATATGAAAGGGGGGAGGGGGAGACCAACTAGGTTTACACTTGTTTGTTTGGAAAATAATACAATAACAATAATACAAAATAAACTCTCTGGTTTATGTACTCACAACTGTAAACGTACTCCCCACCCCCCTTGTACAGTAAGGAAGAAGAATGGTTAAGAGCTTGGTATTGACAGTAGATTCTGAATTTTGAATCATTTCCATACTTATAGTGTGACCTAACCTCTCTGGGCTAGGTCTTCTCCTCTGTATGCTGGGCATAACCATGGCAACCACCTTAAGGAGTTATAGAAATCCAATGCAGTGATCCAGGGTCTTCGCAAAAACAATCCATAGTAAAATTTGATCCTCCAGTTGCACAAAGGAAGATAAGGTGGATGAGAAATGGTGGCACAAGATAAGAGATGTTTTCAGCTCAGTAGAAATGGGTGAAGCACAACCCACTTGTTCCCTTGTGGTCAATAAACTATCCTTACTATATACAAAAGACACAGAAATCTCTACCTTTGACTTTGGTGCCACTTTTTGTTTAAGAAGTGTTTTTGAACAAAGTGAAGTGGTCATTGTCTTTGATAAGCCCTATATTATTATTTTTACCTTCTTGTCATAATCACAGCATCATGTCTATTCTCTGCAAAATACTGAAATATGTAGTGTTGGCTTCCCTATGCTTGAATGTAAGCCCCATTGGCGGAGGAACTTTAGGGTGTTTTATTGCTGAATGAATGATTGAAGTTGGTTACTAGTACTGTTTGTTGAATGAATGACATTGGATGACTTGACAAATTCACTGAGGATTCACACCCAGGTCTGTTTTCTTCCAAAGTTCATGATCTTTCTTTGGATAGGGATGTGCTTCTACTTTTGACGAGTTGCACTTTGCCAGACTGCTTGTAGCTCCTTGTTTAACCTTTGTAAAAGGTTAAATTTAATCTTAATTAATTTTAAAATTAATCTTGGTTTACTTAACCCTCCCCACTTAGTCATTCCTCTTCTTGTAAGAACTTTCTCTTTTCAACACCTCTAGAATAGTTGACCCCTAGGTTCTTTTGGAATCTCAGTCATTATCAACACATGTCAGTTCTTGCTATTACATCTCCAGATTCTTTTCTGAGCTCATGGCCCTGCCTTAGTGCCTGCACATATCAACTGTGGATTGCAGTATCCTCCCCTGTAAGTTCTCTTGTGTGAAATCCATCATCTATGTAATAGTCAGAGTTCCACTAAACCTGCACATCGTCTCAGGAAGGTTAGATTACTTTGGGGGCAATTACGAACAATCACTAAGCATCAGTCTTATAGAAACAAGACTTTTTCTTTTCTCCATTTATGTGACATGCTCATCACAGGATATAGAGAGATGGGAAAGGTGAGGAGCTCTGCTTACTAAGGTCTCTCAGGAACCTCCTGGAATGTCTCACTCAACTGCTCTTCTCTGTTCACCTCAGAAGGGGAAGAGAATGTGCCAGATCAAAAACTGCTCTAAAAGTTTTCACGTGGATGTGACACATACTACTTCACATTTCACTGGCCAAAGTGGTTATGTGACCATGCTTCATTTTGCAAGTGGCAGGGAAATGAAATCTACTACATTCCTGGAAAGAGCTGGAAATATTTGGTGATCATTAGTAATGCCCATCACTTTCATCATGTCACTTGCTTATTTTAAAGCTTTCAGAGCTCTTCTTTGCCTTTACAGCTATTTTTTACACTTTCTAGAATAGAGTGGCCCAAAATCAACTTCTAAAAGCTCTCCTGTTTCGTCCCATACTTCTTAGGTTCACTCTATACACTTTCTTACTTCGGGACTTTGTGCTGTTCCTTCCACTTCAAGGACCTCCCCTGTAGTCTGTATGATGTAATTAACCTGTGGTTTCAGATCTAAGTCAAAGATCAAAGGTCATGATCTCTGGGAAGACCTTTGTTCAAACCTTTATTATATAGCACAGAAACTGTTACATATTTTACTTTTCTGAGTTACAAGTCCTTTGAGGGAAGAAACAGATTACTTTTTAACATAATTGAGACATTTAAAATATAAATTTATTGAGTTATAATTTATGTGCAGAAACTAGCATCCATTTTAAAGTACCTAAATCAAGGAGTTCTGTAGATGAATTGACTCTGTGAAGCCAATACCACAATCATGATGCAGATCTTCTTATCACTCCCAAAAGTTGATTCCTGCCCCTTTGTAGTCATCACTCTGCCCATCCCATTCCCAGGCAACCACTGATTTGTTTTTGTCTCTGTGGAGTAGTAGGAATTTTCTAGGATTTTATGTAAATGGAATCACATAGTATGTTCTCTTTTGT